ACTTTCTAGCTTGTGGGGTGGGTACCCACAATAGGAATCATACACTGAAGAAATTAGGTGACGTCACAGCCAGCAGCTCAACCTTACCAGACAAGGGCCAGCAGACGGTCACTGTGTGCCTCCAGATGTGGCATGCTGAAATAGACACACCCTCACCAATGTGACAATGGAGCTGGGAATGCAGGATACAGTCTAACCACAAACCATCAGGAAAGCATGGAAGGGAGACTTTTACTTGACTACAGCAAGGTAAGGTTGGGTTTGAACGTCCATGTCATGAAAGATAAAGGAACGCTATGACAAAAATTCCAGATTGAAGGAGGCTAGCCAGAGTCCATGACACAGGAGAGACATGGAGCATGGAGGGTATTATCAGGTCAAGCCACAAAATAAGAGCATTTACAGTAATTCTGCAGTAGTGATATACATCCATTACGTGCAAGAACCGCCATGTGTGTTAACCATCGTCCTGGGTTGACCAACAGGGACCAGCCACCCCTGGCCACCATCAGTTCCTGGGTATGCTCCCCAAAGCCCTCCCAACTTCTGCCAGTCGGTCCGGGAACCTTTCTGTCTCACATCCTGTGACACTAAGCTTGGCTGAGTTTGGTATCAGGATGCACTGTACATAAAAGTACTCCCAGCATCACTTCCAAACATGCTTCTTACACGCCAGGTTACAGGTTCGGTTTTGGGGTTTGCACCCTCTTACTGTTGCCAGAGCTGAGAAATTTGATTCCAAATTCTCCCCCAATTTTTATCAAAATTAGTATTCCAGGCTAGGCTAATGATTCTCAAATTCATCTATTATGCTGATTCTGGTCCTGAACTCTCAACTCATACAGTTTACTTCTTACTCAATATCTCTACTTAGGTGCCTGGAAGAAGTCTTAAACTGTGTGCATTCACCGGAGGGAGGGTTCCTGGGCCTCCTCCCACACACAGGTGCTACCCCAAGAGCCTTCCCTTGCCTGTCTGAGGATGGCTCCATCTTTCCGGCTCCTCAAGCCAAACTTGTTAACTCCCTGTTAAGTACCTAGGACTCTTTCTCCCCACATCCAAAATACCCTGGTGGTTAAGTGTGGAATTAGAACCTCTCAGTCATTCAGCTGAGAGAGAAGCACTGTTATCCTCTGCTTCACTGATGATGGAGGATTAGAGGCACAAGGGCTCTCAGACTCAAGGAGGCCTCATTCTGCCAGACCAGCTAACACTTACAGACGTTCAGACCAGCACTGCTGAATGGAAAGCAGGAATAACAGAAGCAGATGAGCTATCTTCATTAAAAATATATATCATTAGACAGCTATAAAATTTATGAGAATTCTATTAAGAACTCACGGGCTGTTGGGTGGGGGAGGGGGCTCATCCTGTAATCCCAGTACTTAGAAGCTGAGGTAGAAGGATTGCTAGGAGTTTGAGGCCAGCCTGGGCTACAGATTGGGAACTTTCCTTAAAACAAAACAACAACAACAACAAAAACCCCTCCAAGCTGGGGAAAGCCAGAGGTGGTTTAGCGATGCCTTGAGTCCACTTCTCAGCACCCACGTCAGGCAGCTCACACCTCGCGTTAACTCCAGCTCTACTGAGATCCAACACCCTTTTCTGTACTTCACCGACACCTGCACTCACGTGTGCACATACCCACACACAACCATACACAAATACATGCAATTAAAAATAAAATAAAACACAAAACAAAACCATTCAGAAAACAGAAAGAAAGCATGCCAGGCCTGGTGGTACAAACCTTTAACCCCATCACTGGGGAGGCAGAGGCAGCAGAACTCTGTGAGTTCGAGGCCAGTCTGATCTACAGAGCAAGTTCCAGGACAGCTAGGGCTACACAGAAAAACCCTGTCTTGAAAAAAAAAAAAGTGTACATTTGCAATATCAGAAAGAAACAGCAAAACACATAAAAATAGAACTTACAAGACTCCAAGCAGACACATATATGCAAATATACCAAGAAGGGAAATCTTTATGATACAATATTAAGTACAAAAGCATACACACGCTGAGCATGGTGCCTTGCCTATAATTCCAGCACTTTGGAGGCAGAGGCAAGAAAACTCATGATTCCAAGGCCAAATGGCCGACAGAGTAAGACTATCTCAAAAGCAACTAAAGAAAGGATATAGGTAATATCTCTATATAAGCTCATAATCCATTTACACACTAATGAGGCAAAAAGAATCTATAAGCAATCATACCAAAATGTTAACAATCATTACCTCTAAATTTTAGGGTAACAGGAAACACCAATTTTCTTCTTTGCATTGTATTTTCCATATCTCCTACCATTATTATGTGAAACTTTTATTCAGAGTTCCTCTTTCCTGTGAGGTGCAATTTAAACCACAGTGCACTCTGAAGTGTATATAATGCAGGAGAGTGTCTCTGAACTCGGCCTCGAAGCACTAAGCGCACGGAGTCAAGTCTGCTGGTTTAACTCGACCAGTCGACCAGAAAACCAGCAGACTAAGCCCTCCAGCTGTTTGTCAAGCTGAATGAGATTACTGTTCCAGGTGATGGGTTTTCAGGGGCTTTTTAATTCAATCTGTGATTACAGTTAGGCCTCCATACTAATCAACTTAATTCGACCATTATGCAAATCACTGCTTCACAGACAGGAGCCCTGATGGAGAGAGGGGAAAGAAAGAAAGAAAAAAAAGGGCCTGCAAGCAAGAACAACCAGGAAATAGAATATTTTGGTTAAATTAATGTGCCTATATAATAACAAATTGAGGACGAGGCACGGTGTTACAAGTCCGCAATCCCATCACTTGGGAAGGAACGCAATCAGGAATTCAAGGTTATAGCCAGCCTGGGCTCTACACATAAAAGGAGCTGCAGTAACTGACCAGCTTTGGCACTTTATTTAAAGGTCACTGATATCTGTAGCCTTTAAGGACCCAGGACAGTGGGAATGTAATGACTCAGGCTCCTCCCAACATCCACTCTATCTCAAAGCTAGGCGGGGACCAGCCGGCATCTGGAGACAGCATCACAGAGACCGCCACTGAGGAGTAGCACAAGGACATCAACGTTGCTACCTTAGTTCTGGCTGGTAATGAAGACAGCTAAGAAGCTAGAAGCTCAGGGTACTGGCGACCTTACCAATTTCTTCTTCCAAGACAACACAAGAAATGTTAAAGCACTGCAGTGATAACATACACATAGTTTAAAAAAAAAAAAAAAAAAAAGGGAACTCACAAAAGTAATTTAGGCCTAAGGGGAAGGATGTTCTGGATAACAGGAATTGTTCCATGGGAGTCCTAGCCCCGAGGCAGCGCCCCCTGCCAAGCATTATTTTGAATGCATTTGGTAGATGGGATTCTTTGCATGAAGTCATGTGAACCCGTGGCAAGACACGGAGAAAATTACAAGATTCAACTAACTAGCTTCTCTCCTTCTCAAATCTACTTACACATTAGTGAATCTTTTAAAGACTGACGTATCTAATTAGAAGTTGAAAAACAAAATTCCACCACCACCACCCCCCAAAAAACTATACAATTAAGAGCTTGCATGTGACTCTGGGACTACCACTGTCTGAAAAGTCTAGCATCTCTCATCCTCCTGAGTTCGGATTCACCTCAAAACCCGATTTTAACTTCATCAATAATAACAGCCCTTTTTTTTCTCCCTAGAGGAAAAACGGATGGTATCAGAGTTTGAGTCTTTGCAGTATACCTCGAAAATCAGTTCATTAGCCACTTCACAGACAGATATTACAGAGGAGTCTCTACAAGCGAGACCTTCTGCTAAATACCGTGTCCCCAACCCTTGGGGCTGCTACACTGTGCTGACAGCTGCACGTGGTCATAAAATCACCAGTTTATTCCTAAAATCTTTTTAGCACCAAAAAAAAAAAAAAAAAAAAACCAAACAAACAACAACAACAACAAAAAGGTCAATTCAAAGCTTGCTGTGGCAGCACACACCTACAATCCCAGCACTTAGGAGGCTGAGGCAGGAGGACTGCTGTGAGCTCAAGTCTACCCTGAGCTACAGAGCAAATAAGAGGCTAATAAGAAAACAAGATTTATGAAAAGAGTCAAAGAAGTCAGCTCAATTCCCTCCTTGGCTTGACTCTGCATGAAGTTAAGAAGACACAGAGGGCCGGGCGGTGGTGGCGCACGCCTTTAATCCCAGCACTCGGGAGGCAGAGCCAGGCGGATCTCTGTGAGTTCAAGACCAGCCTAGGCGACAGAATGAGTTTCAGGAAAGGTGCCAAAGCTACACAGAGAAACCCTGTCTCGAAAACAAAACAAAACAAAAAAAAAAAAAAAAAAAGAAGACACAGAGGAATGGGTTCCTCCTGTGTTGCCTTTCCACCTTTATCCTGCATGGGTTGCCCTAACAGCACAAAAAGGCAGCAGGATCTTCACAGACAGATCAAAAGGAATCTTTCACGCCTTTGCCATCTTTGACCAGCTTCTGAAAGCTACCTGTGAAGGCACGAAAGCACAGCCAGACACAGACACTGTGCCTACTGCCAAAACCCTGCCAGGGTGCCACGAGGTCAGCAGGGCCCACCCTTGACTTCCGGTCTCCATTGAAAGCGTCCAGAATTTCCATCCAGCTTGAGTATCATGCTCAGCAAGAACAGATGCGTGGTACCCAACAGGCTGTTTTGTTTACTTTAGAAGATACATTTCTGCAGTGTCACACAGCCTACATACACCTTTCAGAGCAGATGAACCCCACCTTCACAGGCAGGACTGAAAAGCAATTACAGAGGTAATACAGACCACCGAAGTTTCTCCTCTACCTAGGAAGGTTTTGCTTTCTTTTGCCAAAACTAAAATGGCGTTTTCCCCATCCCCATTTCCCTTTCTCTCCCACAAGAAACGCCTGTGTGACATAATTAACCCGGTTCTGCATGGCTGCAGCTGAAGAAAGCATGGTAGCTTCACCTCACAATGCCTTTTACGTTACTAATGAGCAGGTGAGACCCTCCCTCCCAGGAGAGCTAGATGCTCACAAAAACTTACATCTTTTCCCAGGACTCTGAGTTCGAACTGGGTTTCCTTGAAGTGCACCTTTGTAATCCGGGGCCTGAAAAACAAGGCACGTAAGGCTATGCTTTCTCTTTTCCGAACCTCAGTTTTCAGAATGCAGAGGGGTATCCCGCAGGAAAAGACTGAGAAACACAGGCTCTTTTAGGTCCTGTCGAGGACACTCCAGAGCATCCCTGTATGCCCTCTGCTCGGGACAGCCTCCCTAGGCTGCTCCACTAATATACAAACAAGCTTGGAATGCCCATGCCCTGAGGGTACCACCTTCCACACGTACACAGAGCCACAGTTCCCCAATCCCTCCATTCCTTCCCCAGTTAGAGCTAAAACTCCAATAAGTCCTGGATCCACGGGCCACCAGCACACAGGGGCATGGGTGGGATAGCCTACTCTACAGTTTCCATGGACAAGAGAGCCCAGAACAACCACGACTGAACAGGACAAAGAAGCTACATAAACTCACAACCACTTTCATCCACTTACTAGTCACTGCTTTAAAGATACATGTTTTTTCCCCCAGACCCCTTGGCACACAAGCCCCCAAGCCCAATGTATACAGTACACAGCTTTAACACTAACTCTGCCCCCAAGTTATACTTACCAGAAATACTTCCCCACTTGCTTTTTATTCTTATACACAACAACACCCACTGGAGTTAGTCCTAAGAAATACTCAGACTTATTTTCTCCCTGAAAAAAAGAAAAAAATAAGCAAACACATATATTCCCAGGACCATTAACTTATTCCTAAAGAAGTTCCTGGTAAAACTATAATTGGCCATACAAACATAATTTGCTAGCATGGTTATATAATTAATAATAATTATATAATAAAATAATTAAAATATAGTTAATATTGGATTTAGGTTTTGAAAGACATCAAACAAACAAACAAAAAACTAGCTAAAGTGTAAGAGTAACTAACTGGATGCTCTTTCCCCTCCCGATCTTAACATCTATCTACACCTGTGATTTCAGTTCACCAAGAGGCATGGGATGTAGCATGAATCTTAAAAGGTCCTATTAATGAGAACAAACCTGGAGCCAGGTATTGGGGTGAACACTGAAAGATCAGAGAAGCAGAACAAGCCACAGCTTCCTCACCTTGCCAATTCCTCAGCTGATCCTGTTTCCTCAGACTGGATGCCTCTCAGCTGAACTGCCACTCAAAAGCCTAAAAGCTTAACCAGCTCTAGTTCCTGGTTTTCCCGCCTTATATACCTTTCTGCTTCCTGCCACCACTTCCTGGGATTAAAGGCGTGAGTCACCATGCCTGGCTGTTTCCAGTGTGGCTTTAAACTCAGAGATCTGGATGGATCTCTGCCTCCCAAGTGTTAGGATTAAAGGCATGTGTGCCACCATTTTCTGGCCTCTGTATCTAGTGGCTGTTCTGTCATATGACCCCAGTTAAGTTTATTAGGATGCACAATATATTAAGGGACACAATATATCACCACAATGGAAGGACAATCAGTCTGATGCTGCCTACACAGTGGTGCTTAAGCCCAGGGAATCACCACACAGCTTAAAATGCTGACGAGGATGAGCCACCAAATCAGTGACCTCAGAATCTGCAGTGACAGAGGCAGAGTGTCAAAACACACAGCAGCTTCAAACAATTCTGAGCCACAACCTGAGACCCACGGGCTTCTATCCAAAGGTGCTTTCAGATGGTTTGTCTTGGTTTTGCTCTCTGATGTGGATAAAACTGGGCTCAGTTTACCAGTACCACAAGCCTCATGAGGAATTTTAGGCAGCTTCCTGCAGACAGAGGCTTCAATTTCCTAAGGTCTACCATGGTCCTTCCTACCTACACTTGGAACTTTAAGACTGCTCAAAAATTGAGAAGCACGATCCCTTCTCATAAAACCTGGAGACTGTCCATTTCCAGGCAGAGACAAATCTCAAATAAGAAAATAGGACCCGGAAATAAAAGAGCCAGAGGCCGGGTGGGTACCAAGAACATGCACAGAGCCGTTCACTAAACAGCCCACAAGCAGAACACAGCTGCTCCGGAAAACCCCAATCATGGCCAACCTTCGCCTCTAGAAACCGTCCTCAAGGGATGGAAGACCTAACAGATCTGGGTCATTTCCCATAGATCCTTCCCACCGCCCTCCCAAACCAGGAAACTTGATTAGGAATTAAGATAATCATTACAGAATTCAAAGCAGTTGGCAGAAGACTCTACACATTTTCTAGGGGCTGTTGTGTTTTGTTGTTGTTGTTGTTGTTGTTGCTGTTTTTGTTTTGTTTTGTTGTTTTGTTTTTGTTTGCTTTTTCGAGACAGGGTTTCTCTTTGTAATTTTGGTGGCTGTCCTGGATCTCACTCTGTAGACCAGGCTGGCCTCGAACTCACAGAGATCCGCCTGGCTCTGCCTCCCCAGTGCTGGGATTAAAGGTGTGTGCCACCATTTTTTTAAACACCCCCAAACCTACCAAGAGGCCAGCAGAGAAGATAATGACTTCATGGAGTTTTAATACCTACCTTCCTTCTTTCGTTTCTTACTACATGATCAGGCTGGTCTCGAATGTGAGACTGTCTGGCCCCCACCTGGGATCACGGTGCTGCCATTACAAGACTGTGCTACCCAGACCTTAGAGGTGTTCTTAAAGTCGGCAGTGTTTCATTCTCTAATGAGACTGGCTTCTAATATCAGGGAACTTTTGGATCCTCTGAGTCTGTACCTTCCATTATCACACTGAATGTGTGCTCACGGATGCTTCTAACTGTAAGAGTAATATGGACCAGGAACAACGGCAGACTGCCTGGAATCCCAGCACTCCACAGTCAGACAAGAGGAGTCTGAGCCAGGGTCTACACAGCAAGACCCTGAAAGACCGACTGACTGACTAAGAAGTATGGTTTCTTGTTTCAGAAGACACTAATGAGCTAAAGACATGCTATAAAATGAATACAGGAGTGAAAAATATGAAAGTGATAGTCAAAGAGAAATGTCTGCGAGGGTAGGGCCTGGTTCTAGACCACTGATGTGCATCCGGCGGATGCTCACTGACCACGGCCAGCAGGTGTCCATAGCCACTGAAGAAAACTGGCAGAAATATCTCTATCCATGCAATCAATTACTCTCCTGGTGACAGAACACTGTGCATTCAATCTAGATCCACCAGCCACCGCACCAGGACTGTTGCCCAACGCCTACTTTACCTGGCACAGAACTTCATTTTTTTTTCTGCCATAAAAATCTATTTTTAGAAAACCCTCCTGTTTTCTGTCTAATATCATCAATATCATGATAGACTGATTTTAAACTGTTTTGACATTTAGCTAAGCCCTCTGGAACTCTTATCCAGATTGTGTTTGCAAGCCCAGTTAATTGTTTTCTACATGTGGAAATATAATCACAGACGTCTATGCAAAACTCATTAGGGTTTAATCCACGTAAGAACTGCTCGGAGTCTGAAAAGTAGGAGAAGTTATCATCCGCTTGGTAAACAAGAGGACGGCAGCTTCCCTAGGGAGTTTCTCTGACTTTTTAACAAAAATGTCACCAGCTCAAAATATGTCGTGTTAATTAAATGTTACTCACATAGACAGGATGGAGGTCAACACCATACATCTCCAGGGATTTGGCGGTCCTCAAGTAATTCAGCTCGGCTTCAGAAGGAGCCTGACCCCTATACCCGGAGTAAAGAGTAAAAGCAAAGGCTTTTTCACTCATAGCTACGCCACTTGAGAGAGAAGGACGCTTCAATGTGTTCGCTAGTTAAACAAGAAAGGCTCTGCACTAACGTGAAAGATACGGCTTTGGACTTGAGGAAGAACTTGGCCTTCTGGGTGACAAGAAGTTAATATTTATATTGAGTTAATTTCATTTACCAAACCTATTTCTGCTCATTATGGTCTATTCCCAAATTCTCAGCGTGTATTAAAAACTCTCAGTTTCAAAAGCTCCCAAAGAGATTATTGAGAATATAAGCATTCAAATTAAAAAGCAGCCACTTCCCAAGGAGCAAAATGTCGCCACGCAACCAACACCAGCAGCTGTGCATGGGCAGTAACAGGAGCTAGCACCACACCAGGCAAGGAGTGGAAGGGCCCCGCCGCCCAGCAGGGGTCACGTCAGCAGCTCCTGAGCACAGGTGTGGTTTGGAAGCACATTAGTTAACATACAGAAACTGTAAAGTACTTGTCATTTTCATAATTAGTACGGAAGTCTTCCAAAGGCCTTCACTGGCGGTAATATCCCGTGAACACCCTTTGCTCATAATGAGGGTGAGCATCTGCCAGGAATCTCCATGGATGAATGCGGGGAGGGGAAGCCTGTGGGGGCTGATGGCTAACCAAAGATAAAAGCTGCTAAGAATGTCTCAAAATTGAAAATCGTTTTCTGATGTATTCTGTTGCTTCAGCCGCCCTGCACTTAGATGAAAGCCCGCAAGACTGTTCTTCATAAATTGGTCACAAGAAAACTACCAAATTTTGATCATGCTTTATTCCTAGAAAAAGGTAACTGGCCACACTAGCACATAAAATATGTATGAGCGCCTTTATCCAAAGCCCCATAATTTCAAAATATAATTGTACTTTGGAACTCCTAATAGAATTAGTATTCGCAGACGGTGCCAAACACACTGCCCTTTATAGTGTGTAACAAGCTCTCTCTTGTTAGCATCCACTTCAGCAAAACCTTAAAACCAAGGAGTCTGTTTTCAGGCGACAGAGCACTCTAGTGCATGCTAATCCAAGATGGAGAGTCGGCCCCTCTGATTGCTATTCAGCAATTGATTTCTGCCTCTACCCACTGAGGCAGATCCATTCAGCAAACATTTTTGTTGAGCAGATTAATTCTACATTTTTTTTCTTAACCATAATAGATCTGAAACCAAGTATGTTCAAAGGGAAATGTTACACAAGAAGCAAAAAAGCGAAGTTAATCAGTATAGAGGATTTAACCAAAATACTATAATTAAATTATAACTTCAATGCTCTGGGCTATTAACTGCAAATCTTCCCAGAGGAGCACGTGAACTCTCGAGGTGCACACAGGGTTAGCATAATGACTGCAGAAATACCACGCCTGTGTCTTCATGAGCACGGACTCACTGCCATGGCCCAGACGGGATTTTTTTTGCTTCTTATTCTAAAGATTTACATACTTACCATGGGGCAAATCTCAAAGACACAAAGGCATGTTTACTTATGTTCATATAAGTAAAAGTAGTATCTATACATTGTAGGATTTCACAAGAGTAGTGATGGGGGAAAAAAACTACAAAACCCAGCTCTTAGAGAATGACTCTACTTATATAAAATCACAATACATAAATCTGTTCAAAATCAATTTTCTCTATGGAAATTATAGAGAGGAGAGGTCAAAGGTCATTAACCAAAAGTGTGGTGTCTTTAGATACTGGGTTTACCCCCGCCTTTATTTTATTTAGAGAGCTGGAATTTCCAATGAGCATTTATTGTTATAAAAGACGCAAAGAAAACCAGCGTCCAGAGCACAGGAATTTATCACTGAAAACACATTATGATCATCTTGGCCGATGATGATGGCTGATACAACAAAAAGCATGATCCTACATTAGAGTCTTATGAATCCTTTCAATGGCTTCTTCCAGCTCTTCCTTCTGGTCAGGAACGAACCGGTACTCCGACACATACCCTGCAGTATGCTTATATGGGTCATGATCTCCAAGTTCGGCTGGAAGACAAAATGTAATTTTATTCATATAGTTTTTTTTTTCTTAACTATCACAGGTAAGGGTATTTTAGGAAAATGCTTCTAAAAAAATAAAGGAATGGAATTTTTCTATCACGCTTAAACATTTTTCTTCAAATGCCTTGTCGATTTATTGATGTAGCTAACTACTCAATAACTTTGCTAAAACATTACTAAAAAAAACTTCGCCAAAGATATGTGTGTGGTATAAACAAATTAGGATTTAGAAAATAAAAGTCTATGTTTTTCTTTCCCACAGAGTCTATCATCCTTTTATTTCAATTACTTTTATCAGTATATATGAAATAAAATGAATATGAACATTTTGCGTCATAGCTACTAGAGTTTAGGGTATGTACTCTAGGAACACTAGAGATGATCCCAGTATATCCTCTCAGACAATGAAACCAAGAGCAAGCATGGCCTTCAAACAACCATGCTACATGGGATGCTCCCAGAACACTACAGGACTGGGCTGTCCTGCCACCATTAGCACAAAGAAGCAGGAGGAAAAAAAAAAAAAAAAAAAAAAACAGAACGTTCTGATCAGCTTCTTCCTGTAATAATCATTCTTCTAAGGTCAACTCAATGAGTCTAGTTGACATTCTGCCTGGGATATTTATTCTATATAATGTCTAGTTTACTAGTGTCTCAAGAACAAAGACCAGGCTATCTCATATTCCCTACATTGAATTTGAAATTTTCCCAGGAAATAAACTCACATACAAACAAAAATTCAGATATTTTCTCCAAGCATTCCTTAAGCAAATATACTTAAGTGGAGCCTACCCTGGATGGCATATGCTCCCAGCTGAGCAGCAATGTTGACAGGACAGGGCAGCCGGCCCTGAAGGGCATCTTGCTTCACCTGTAAGAAAAACTGATATCTAAAAGAGAAATGGGAAAAGGAGATTAACAATCTCTGATGCTGCTCAGACTTGAAGCTTCAGGCCCTGACGAGCAAGAGAAAACCCAATCATCCTCAGTTTTAAAAGTCTACTGAACCAACAGGGAGGGAGGAGACCGAGCAACTGCACTTTACATGGCCTCACTGAGTGACTGAACTCAGCGCAGACCGGCTGGCTTGCACAAGGCTCTGCTGCCCGCTACATCTGTTGCTTTTCAAGGCTACTCGGTTTCCCTAAAGGCCGGTCACCTCTCAGGATCTGGAAAGGATAGTAACAATTCATGGGGTCACTGAGAAGATGAAATGTAATGTCACTGTCGGTACTTCAACAGATGCCATTCTCAAGAGGAAGAAATGACAAGGATCCTACCTATGTTACATGTGTCATCGACAAGGCTCAAAACCATGTGTCCCAGACAAAATCAACTCGTAGTGTATTTCCCTGTATCTTCCCACTTATTAACCCCGCTCATCATTTCAGCTTTGTTCATTCCGTGACACCTTTAATAACCACAGCACCAAGAACTGTTTTCAACAATGTAAAAACTGTATGTATTTTACATACAATAACCTAGAAAAACGAGGTCAGCACTGTTCATCTTCTGTAGATGAGGTAACTGCCCAAGATCTCACCACCAGTTAGTCAGCAGAAACAGAACTGTAGCCCAAGCAAGTGGATTCTAGAACCTCCCAATCAAGAGACTCTACGTGAGCTGGGGGATGGCTCTGTTGGTAACGTGCTCACTGTTCAAGGAGAAGAACCAGAGTTTGTTCCCAGACATGGTGGTGTGTTTATAACCCCAGCTTTCAGGACGCAGAGATGGGCAAATTCCTGGAGTTCTCAGTAAACCCGCCTAGCCTAAATGATGAATTCCAGGCTAGTGAGAGCGCCTGTTTCTAAATTCAAGGTGGACAGTGTCTGAGGAGTAATACCCAGGGCTAATCTCTGGTCTACACATGCACGTGCGCGCGTGCACGCACACAAACACACACACACACACACACGCATATACACATGCACACACATACATACACACACACACACACATACACACATGCACACACACACACACACACACACACACACACACACACACACACAGTTTTGTGACTCTGATTAGACCATTCAGCTTCCTTCCCCAGGATGAGCAGAGGCAGCGGTTAATGAGGCTGCATCACAAACCAGCCACACCACATCAAGCTGCTGTCACTAATGTGCGTGCATGCGCACACACGTGCACACACACACACCTGCATCTTCAGGCTGCCCTGTAATTTCCCTTCCTTTGTAAGGTGATGCTTGATGTCACTGGGAGAGGCAAAGACAAGAAAAATAAATGGATTCCAGAAATCTTCTGTGATAAATCTCTTCTCCACCTACTCACAGCTGCAGCCCAAGGAGGAAATTCAAACGTTGGAGGCCACACTGGCCATTCCCAGAAGACCGAGGCTGCAGGCTGGAGGTGAAACATGCTCCACTGGCTGCTTCAGGAACTGGCACACTAGTCTCAGGTGCCCATGTGAGAGAAACCTAGAATGCTGGAAAGCCATTCCTGACATCCACATCATCACAACATAGATGAAAATGTGGCAGCAACACACTCCTCTCCACCCCCTGCCCAGGACCCTTGCAAGTTTAAAACCTGGCCTGCCACCATCCACATCTCTCCTCCTTCCGGTCTGCTCAAGGGTAAGGAGTGCCTTTCAGAGGTAAAGAGGACTGCCCTCCTTCTTTTAAGCTCAAAAAAAAAATCACTACATAGTTAGAAGTATAAAAATGTTCTCGTCAAGTGATGGAAGCCAGGCCTTTCCTTGGTCACGTGGTCACACGGAGCACGACACTCCGTGAACTACTGAAGGAAGAATGAGCAGGTGGGTGTTAACATACAGTTAATACATACAGTCTTAACATACAGATTCCAGAAATGCAGGCTACAGCAAAAGGAACCCATATGCCCAGAAAGTTCTGACTAACAGTTTGATAAACCGAAAGGCCTGTATCTCAGGGCTCTACATTGGTCTTTTTCTATTTCTTGAAACAACAAATGAAAACATATAAAATGACCACCTTTTCCCCGCTCCAGTTACCCTGCCAATTGAGCATCTACATCGTTTACACTGGAGTCAGTACTGTGCACACATTAACTTACTGTATTCCTCCAGTCATCTCCCCGTAGAAATACCAAAACCCCATTTACCACAAGAGAACTCGGTGAATGGTAAGAGAAGGCCAAGGAAGATATACGAAATAGTATGATTTAAAAAAAAAACTATTTATATGGAAATCCTGTTATGTAGACAGAATTATGCTATGAGACTTTTAAAAAGGGCTATACCATTTTCCCAAAATCACACAACCAGCTAGATGCAAGATTATATACACAAAAGTCTCCTTTATCTTACATTTCATAAAAAATTATGGAAAACTTAAAAACCAATACAGAGTAGGCTGGAGCAATGCTCCGAAGAACAGAGTCAAGATAATCACTCTATTTGGGGTTTTTGCTTGCTTGCTTGCTTTTTGGCCCTGGACTCATGGCAATCCTCCTGCCTCAGTTCCCCAAGTGCTAGGATTACAAGCATGAGATACAATACCTAGCTGAACTTAAACTTGAAAACACTGAAATCTGGCTTGGAAATACTGGCCACAAAAAGAGTTTCCTTTACCAGCGTATAAGGGAATTTGGCTTTTGAGTTTCAGGTTTACCTTTTAGCCAGGGAGATGGCTCAGTGTGCTTGCTGAGCAAAAACCCGGTGACTGGGTTCCAGCTCTAGAGCCCACATAAGTGGCTAGATGACGCAGTAACATGTATCTACAAGCCCAGCATTACTACAAGATGGAAGCCAGAGACAGGAGAACATGCTGGAAGCTCACCGGCCAGTCTAGCCCGGAGTGCACAGCACAGCAGCCCAAATAAGAGATAGCCTGCCTCGGAAAGAGAAAGACCCTCTGGCCTCCACACACATGCCACGACACATATGCACCACACTCAAACTCACAAACACACACACACACACACACACACACACACACACACACACACACACACACACATCACTCACATTTACAATCGTACACACACACCAAATAAATAACCAAAGCTATTTCATGTAATCAGTCCACTTTTTCATATCTACTGCACTACAGTCCTGTCGGAGGGAATAATGTCTTCACGCAAGTCAAAATGGCATCATCCTCAGTATATCACATACTGGTCACATATTAAATGTGCATTTAGTTTACCTACATTAACTATGATTTAGACTAAAAAGAAAAAAGTCATAGTCATCACCTATAAGCCAATTACATCATCTGGTTCTTAGATAATCTGGTGAGATACCCGAGGGAAAAATGTCTACACTGTCAAACTCTGCAGCACAGGCATTAGTTGATTCTGAAGAAAAATTCCTGTTCCCTATTAATACAAGTTAAACATAGGTTAATATATATATATATATATATATATATATATATATATATATATATATATATATATATATATATATATTAAACCTTTGGTCTTTCCCCTCATCTTACCACAAACATTTTCAGAAGCTAACGCTATTTAAGTGTGAAGGCACGACACTGTCATGACAAACAAGGGTGGATTTCTAAGAACTCACATTGATTAAGCACTTACCACTCTAAACACATAGATCATGCTATCTAACACTTACAAAAGTCATTTGAAACACACATTGAGGCAGAGTCCATGGAAATGATGGCCTTGCACCATTTTTTAAACAAAACATGCCTTTGCCCTTCTCTAATAAGTTATGGGCGTTGAAGCATTTTTACACTTTTAGACTTGATTCCCACCCCTGCTCCCCACGAAGATCTCATACAAATGCCTCTCCTCTCAGAACAACTCCCTTCTCACAGAAAGCTGTGTGCTAGAAAGGTGTGTGCGCTGGCTTTCCAGAGTGCTCAGGAGCAAACGGAGGTGGGTGATGTGGAGGCAGACGTCACACGGATCTAAAGACGAGGCCTACACGTGCAGCTCAGAGTGGGATGGGAACCCCAGTGCGTCCAAAATAAAGAGGAAAGAACGTCTGAGCTGAAAGATGCACAAATACACAGTGGCTGGGAAGTGGCTAGGTCAACGCAGTGCCCGCTGGGCAAGCACGAGAACATGAGTTCGGGTCCCCAGCACCCACGTCACAAGCCAGGCACAGCAGTGCATTCCTGTAACCCCACGTCTGGGTCACAGAGGCAGACACTTCCCTGGGACTTGCGAGCCAACCAGTCTAGCCGACGAATGAGCTTCACGTTCAATAAGAGACCTTGTCACAAAGATGAAGGAGAGTGATTGAGGAAGACACCTGACCTCTGACCTCCACATGCACACACACACCCACATGCATATGCATATACAAAAGGAAGGAATAGAAAGGGGAAAAAAAACTAGGCTGCCTTTGTTGATATGATTTCCAGTTTTTCACATAATGTATAAAGTTTTGCTTCAGCCCATAATGTCTTTATTGAAATGTAGTTTTTGGAGATAAAGGTGAAGCAATACAGTATAATACTGATCTTTTCTCTCCCTTTTTAATATTAATAAAGTAATTATCTTTTCATTTCCTGCAAAGATAAGTGAAATATTTAAACAGCTGATATTTCAGCTACAACTAATTAAAGGAAAATAACCGGCTTTTCAAATATATATTCATACGCAGAAAACTGGCATCCAAATGCCCTCCCTTTGCAGTTCAAATGACTGCTCTTCCACAAACACAAAGGCCAAAGGCACGCTGAACAATGACAGGGAATATCCTATCACAGCAGATGCAAAATCTATCAACATGTCACCCAGGTTCCTGCCGCTTTCCAACACATCTATCATCGGACACTGATCTGCCTCATGCAAGGCTAAAATTTAATCCTCACAGCAGATGCTTCACAAGACACGGCTCAACACACACTCGGGTGTCTAACCCCAACTTTTAATCCACTTTCAATACAGCCTTTCATATACAACACACTATTCAAAGATAAAGTTAGTACTATACCTGGTTATTTCTTCTTTGAGTTTACAGGGATCTTCAGCATAGAATTTAATACCAAAATACAAAGTATATGGAGGTCCAGCTTTAAAACAAAAAAAGTAAAAACTAATTACATTTCACATTATAATCAAAGTTGCACTGTGATATGTAACAATTAGGAATTATATTCACATATGGAAAGTACATTAAATATAAAAAACATCTATTTCAAGCCGTGGACAGTTCATTTACATACAAATTATATTTTAAGATTTACACTCTCACATCAAATAATATTAGTACTACAATTTGCCTTTAGGTATACTGTGTATCCACTGACATTGTGTGTGTGTGTGTGTGTGTGTGTGTGTGTGTGTGTATGTGTCAGGGTCTCTATGTAATTCTGGCTGGCCTGACTGAGACCTGCCATGTAGACCAGGATAGCCTTAAACTCACAGAGATCCACCTTCCTCTGTGTCCTCAGTGTTGGGATTAAAATACCCTTATGTGCCACCATGCCAAGCTTATATATACTTTTAAAAATCATTAATGAGTTTGAGTTTAAACTGTGCTAAAATGGAAGGTTCTTTACTTGGGAGAAAAACAGAATTAGGGGCTGGGGAGATGGTTCAGTGGGTAAAAGTACTTGCTGTACAAGCAACAAGTCCCAATTTCACTGCAAAAAGCTGGGTGTGGCTGCGCATGCTCCTGTAGCCCCAGCAGGGCTGACAGAGGAGTTTCTGGAGTTTTCTAACTGCCAATAAACTAGCTCCTGGTTCCATGCGGGGTCCTGTCTCAAGGGAATAAGGCAGGGAATGACAGAGTAGGGTGCCTGACATCCTCTTCTAGTCTTTGCATGTAGGTACACATACCCATAAGTACACATACGTGCAGGCGCACACACACGTGTACACACGTGCACATGGACAGAATAACATTTACAAAATATTTCTAAAGACATAAGAACGCAAAATGGAAAAGGCATGGTTCAAGACTACTGAAAGCAGGAAACGAATTCTAAGCGCATGTTCGTTCCCACATAAACACAGAAAACATTTAAGACCCAAAATATCACAATGTTCCCGGTTCTCATCTCTGGTTAGACAGTCTATGCACAATTTTTATTAATTCATATTTTCCCATTATTCATTATTGAGGGAAGGAGGTAGGAAGGAGAGGCTCTTCTCGCCATCAAGAATGCATATTGACAAATAAATGACCTTTTAAAGCCATCCACTTATCACATCAACTATCAAGAGGAAGGTTTTCTAAACTTCTCTGCAAAAGGCTGTAAAGACCGCTGAGCAGCAGAGGGGACTGTGTCCGTGAGTCACAGCCACGGGACAATGGACCAGCCCCCGCGTGTTCAAACAGTGAGATCTGTCTGTGCTGGTGTGGAGAGGCTCACCAGTCCACAGTACTGACACCTCAGAGGGAAAAAATGTTAATCTGTGATGTCTGTCCCAGGAGAAAATACACGCGCGAGTGTAAACTGTGGCAAATGCTGGCAAGAGGAAGAAGCAGTCCTCTGCAAACTGATTAGCTAGAATTTTCATAATCATGTATATTTCTTAAGAAAAATGATCAGAGATAGCACAATATCTGTTGCATTTAAGCGATTCTAATTTTTTTAATTCATTTATTTTATGTGTATGCGTGTTTGCCTGCATATATGTATGCACACACCACGTGCATGTCCGTCACCCTCCGAGGTTGGAAGAAGGAGTCAGAGCCCTGGAACTGTAAGTCCAGACAGTTGTGAGCCGCCATACAGGTGCCGGGAATTAAAGCCAGGTCCTCTGTAAGAGCAGCCAGTGCTCTTAACCACTGAGACGTCTCTCCAGCCCCATTAACTATTCTAAATAGAGAAATATTTCCTCACATATGTAAAAAAGATACTTCTTATTCATTTACCACACACAAAAAAACTAAATCTATGGACAACAAAAAAACAAAATTAAAAAATTCAGAAACAAAGCCTGGCATGGCACATTCGTTGGGAAATACAGTCAACACATCGTACAGGAGTACGATGGTCCCGTGGGTGCTGTTATATTGTAGTAAGCCGCTCCTAAAAACGTTTCTTACTTCAGAGTGAGTGGATGTAGACTGCACTGTTTTCAAAACTTTGAACTTCCAGGCTGGCAGTAACTATTAATAGAGCTAATATGCTTTGTTTTTGTTTTGAGGCAAGGTCTCCTGCGGCTCATGCTGGCCTCGAACCTGCTCTGCAGCAGAGGTTGATCTGAAGTCCCGATCCCCCGTCTCCACCTCCCAGCTGCCGCTTCCTTTGTTTTAAAAAGGGCTTTTTACTTGGTGCTCCAACTGACCGTCAGTGGTGCAACTGATTACTTCACCCAAGGCTCTGCCCCACCAACAGAAAGCATGGCATTTGCCTGGTGAAAACAGCGGATGCCACGTAATTGATATAAAGAAACTCTAATGCGCTTTCATTTTAAGTTAAATAAATGAAGTCATAATTTAAATGCTGGGTGAAAGAAACAAATTAGATCCAGTAATAAAAATAAAGTTCATTTATAACATACAAACCATGTCATTGGCTATTATCACATACTCACACATGTTCTGTACTCTCCCAAAGCCCTATTAACCACATATGTAGGACATCAAGAGCAGGCCCCTGCCTCTGCCTTCATCTCTGCCTTCCTTCATGAGTTACTTCTTACATTTCGTGATTTTTTTTTTTAAATCGACATTTTAAAACCTTTGCTCTAGTTTCCTATCAGTACTCCATATATTTGGTTTTTATGCGTAGTCAATCACTGTTTGTATTTCTGACAAACACAGCCCTCAACACAGACACCAGGGAGGCAAGACTATTAAATATTTAGAAGAGGCAGGAAGTCCAGGCCGACGGCTGATGGTCTGTGTCAATCAAGCTCTGTTCCTGAGCAGATGGGTCTGCCTGTGCCCGCAGGCGGCTGGGCTTTCACCTAGGGGGGCAGGGGGGCAGGGAGGCAGGCGCGCATGCCGCTAAGATGTGCACAAAGAGAAGAGGCCTTCTATAGACTCCAGGGCTACGTTCATTCTGTGGAACATGACAGATGACCCCTAGTCACCCGGCCCAGACATTTCATCTCTGTCCAGTCATGGGTAGCTAAGCAGAAACTTGAAAAATGCACAATGAAAACCACTCAGCTCGAGTTAATTTTCTTTAAGGGCTTCAGCCTTTTCCACCGTCATACAGAGGGCCTTGTGTTAGTTCATACTGCCCAGTGTGGTGGCACACGCCTTTAATCCCAGCACTCAGGAGGCAGAGACAGGTGCATCTCTGTGAGTTCAAGACCAGTCTGGTACATAGTAAGTTCCAAGTCAGCTACGGATATACAGTGAGACCCTGTCTCAAACAACAGTAACAACAGCAAATTCATGAATATTTCATTCTTGGCCACAGCCTGAAGCCACCACAGAGCAGGTGAAGTGCTGAGGAGTTAAGCAGCTTGCCTGAAACCACAGGGATGAGAAGGAAGCTTACCCATGCCTAGTATTTGGCGCTGTCTTCCACAGCCTGGGGAAACAGACCTTGGGTGCAAACTCCCATCTGGAGCACCTGGTAGAGAAATCTACGGCCCTAGAAACGGTCATTTATATGCAAGAATATTTCTAGCCAGACATTTTCGGGCTTCTTATCTAAGACTAACTACAAAAATGGATGCTGATGGAGCAAATCACTAACTCAGTAGAATCTGGAATCCATCCCTTTAACGAGATCGACATTAAGAAACTTTTAAAGTGAAGCTAATACCATTTTGTTTTATCAAAGAAAAAAAATGTAGAACCAGACACTGGGAATTCTCCGATCTACCATTCATAGTGTCTTAATGATAATAATGAATTTCCACTTAGTTTAGGGCAAATAAATCCAGATATACCTATGAGAATTTTGGTGATTAGAAATGGCCTCCCATTTGTATGGCTACTCACACCGACCATGCTATTTTCCTCCCTTATCAAAACAGTTTACAAGAGAAGACAAAAAGTCTTCCATGACACAGTTCTTCAGTTGAGACTGTGTCTTTTACACATGATACATCATGTATTCAACATTACTGCATTTGGGGGAAAAAAGTACTGCTTCTTACGACGCTATTTAAATAGAATATCTTTATGCACTGAGTAGGCACGCTTTAAAATTTCACCTTAATGGGCTGGAGAGATGACTCAGTGGTTAAGAGCCCTGCCTGGTCTTCCAGAGGACCTGGGTTCAATTCCCAGCACCCACATGACAGCTCACAACTGTCTGTAACTCCAAGATCTGATACTCTCAGACAGACAGACATGCAAGTAAAATAAAAATAAGTTATTTCTAAAAAATTTCACCTTAAATATTTTGAAAGACTTACACACTTTTATGTGTATGGGTGTTTTGTCTGCATGTATGTCTAAACATTACATGTATGTCTGGTGTCCAGGAAGGCCAGAAGACAACATTGGATCCTCTGGAATTGGGGTTACCCAGGTTATGAGCCATTGTGTAGGTGCTGGGAATCAAACCTGGGTCCTCTGGAAGAGCAGCACGTGTCCTAACCACTGGGCCATCTCTCCAGCCCCTGTGTTTGTCTGCTTGTTTTTGAAATAAGGACTTACTCTGTAGCCCAGGCTGGCCTCCATGTGTGGCAATCCCCCTGTCTACTACTATTTTACTAACATTACAGGCATGAACCACCGTGTTCCACTAAAATGTTTACATTTTTTTATTATCTCAGAAAAAACCTGCAAGGATATTTTAAAATAATTATCCCTGAAATTTTCCTGCGTTTCTGATAAGCCATTTTTTTTAATTGGTTCAAATGGGCCAGGGTTGTAATTTATAAACTTTGGTGATTTCCACCAAGGGAGAAAGCAGATAATAACAATGGTGCTGATGTTCAGAGACTCTGGACTTGCTCCTGAGGGTCCTGCAGTTCCAGGTTCCTAGTCCTTTCTGAGGTGTGGCTGCATTCCTATGCTGGGATCCACAAAAGTTCGCACAACCAATAGGACCACAGAGAACGGGCAGACAGGCATGGGAGAGAGCGATGGGGCCCACAGGCAGAAGGGCCCACTAGGTTCTGATTGACAGTCAGTCACAAATTTGAACAAAATGACTCATTGGCCAGCTTGGGCTACAGAGTAAGTCCTTATTTCAAAAACAAGCAGACAAACACAGGGGCTGGAGAGATGGCCCAGTGGTTAGGACACTGGGATAATGAAAAATTATGCAGACAATGATCACTATAGCAATGTGAATTATTTAATGTCAGTGAATTACACACAAAATGTTTCAAATTTTTAATTTATGTAATTTCACCACAAAAAACTGTAAAGGATTATTCTTTTGCATACTTAAGTTTGTGAGTGTGTTAATAAATAAAACCTTGGGAATGGATATTAAGATTAAAGAATATGTATTCAACTACACCAACTTTGATCATTCCAAAAGCTAAACCCTGACAAGAAGTGACCTCTCTCCTGGAAGTCAGAAACTTTTCATGTCACAGGCCCTGTGGCATGATAACAAAACACTCCATAACCCAGGAACCAACTCTTTCCTCTCTCCTTCTTTCTTCTTTTTAAGGTCGAGTTTTAAAGACAAGCATGTAGAAAAGTCACAGATTAAAAAAAAAAAAAACAAGAGAGGGTATATCCCTAGGACACACTCGATACAATCATAGGATCCTGAGCATCTGATTAAATTAACCCCACCCCAGTCTAGAGAGTCTGTCGCAGCACACAACCCAGGAACGATTCTCTGCCCTACTGTTCCCTCACCGGCACTAAATTAATCACAAACCTTTCACCATGCCCAAGTCACTTCTCACAAAATTAAAATGAAATACCTACTGTTGATCAGCTCCTTGTGCTCCGCAAGAGTTTTTGCTGGATCCAGCCAGTACTGTAAGACAGAAAGGGGCAATTGTAAAGTTAGATGCATTTCGTCCACCTCTGCATCAAGAGTATTTCTGAGGTATTACTCAAGTGCTATTTAAATATTGGACAAGTAAACCATCATGCATCATGTCATATCCACAGACTCACTAAGAAACGTTCTGTGGCTAGACTACTAAAGAAAGAGAAGATGCTTGCCACTGGTGTCCAGAGAGAGCCAGGGCAACAATGTGCTTTAGCTGGACTGTACTCACTGAAGGGTGGATGGCAGCCTGACACTTTCAAATGAGTGGTATTACCTGGAAGACAGCAGCCACTAAGAAGACCCTCTAAGTGTCTTTCCATAGCCTTCCTTCATGGTCCCCTGAGTCATGTCTCCCCATAAAATGTCCCCAACCTCTTCACTAGCTGTCCCATACCCTGTAACAAATGCTACTAGGTATTAGGAAGAAAGCAATCAAATTAGATCAAATCGTCACTTGGGGTCCAAGAGGGGAGTTCAGCTCCGCTCAGGTCCTGGATCTGGAGCACAGCCGTGGGGATTTCTACCTGGATCTCCCTGCCATCACCATGCAACAAGGGATGAAGAACTGAAAAGCTCTGCGTGTGCTCCACAGGGTGCCTATGCAGAATAGACGTTATAATTCACACAGTCTTTAGCTGGCTCACCCACAGCTATGCAACGCTCGATCATTATTAAGGTGTGAGGCTCGCTCTTGGTAACTGGCTTTAGCCCATGTAAGGTATTTGCTTATTAATTCACATCAACCTTTAAGGACTAGAACTGCAGGCAGGATGGGGAATTCTTGGCCCTGTAGACAGGCTTTCCTTTTCCCCTGTGAAACAAAAATCACTGAAAGAAGCCAGCCCCGCAGCCTCGACTCTCCATCTGCAAGAGGAGCAGGGAGAAGTCGCAGCCACACAGAGGAGGCTCAGGCTCTCGTGGGAGGCACTGACGGGCCCATGGGAACAAACAGATGGAGCCTCTCCATCATTTACCCTAGACAAATATGGAGGACCCACAGGAACACCCAGGAGCCATCTCCATTTGCCTAAATAAGGCTCCATTCCCACAGCAGGGAGAGAGGAGCTGGCATCCTGCAACTACGGCCACCGAATTCCCAGCACTTCCGCATTAACCCTGATGAGATCACTCAGTCCTGCCAGACCCGCCGTGCCCCTCCCTCAGCCCCTGACCCCCAACACTCAGGAGAGAATCAGGTGTTACAAGGGAGGTCCAGGAGAACCTACCTACCAGTGTTCCCTTTCCTTCCCTTAGGTGAACCGTGATTATAAACAGAGGTTCTATATGTTATGCGATCCCCTTACCTTCTATTTCAAATGATCTATGATACATGATAAGTGTTCACACTGAGCGCCCCAGTAAAGCATATTACTGCAGTACTAGCCTCAATTCATCGGCACCCATTTGCCACTCTCTCTCAAGGCAGGTCTAAGCCAACATACACAAGTCCACCGACTTAAAACAGAAGAGGTATTTGAATCAGGGGCTGTAACCAGGGAAGTTCTGTGGAGCCCACAATGACCAAAGATGCTGCTTGGGTGCTGACACACTGGTTCACAGGGAAATGCTGGCTCCCTGTGCAGAGCGAAATCAGCCCACTTGTAGCTCTGTATTTTGGACACAACGCAGACTCATTCTTCTCTGTGTATGAAGCTAAGGATTCCTCCCATGAAATGGAAACATGAAGTAGAGGAACTATGTCTTTCCTTTGGTGTAAGTGAAAGGGTTTGAAGCTGGGGAGGTGACGCAAGGGATAACAGCAATTGCCATTCAAGCCTGGCAACCTGAGTGTGACATGTGTAACATGGCACATGACCATACTCATGCCTGCAAGTGCACACACAAAAGGGGGGGGTAATAAATAAAATGTATTTTTTTAAAAGATTTGAGTATGCCTATGTATTTCAGAGGGAAAGCTAAGAAACACAACCACCCACTTGACAGCTGATTAGGTTTCTACTGCTAAATAACACGTTGTCAAAAAAAAAAAAAAAGGTAAGGCTTCAAACGATGCCCATTTATTATCTCAGAGTTCTGAAGGTCAGTGGCTCTCTTCTCTCTGGGTATCACCAGGCTGGGCTCAAGACATCCTCAATGGCTGGTGACCCATCCACAGAGCCCATAAGAGAGAGTACGGGAGGCAGGTGGGCCCTTCGAGGTTCTTCCCATCATCCCCAAGGGTCAAAGCTGGTCCAAATACTAGGCTTTAATTTTAGGACTTACATCACACACAGAAGGATACAAGAAGTGCCAAAGGAGGAATGGGTGGGATGGGAAGGGAGATTGAAACCACAAGGAGTCAATGAGAGCAAAGCTTCTAAACTTTCTCTCCTAAAATGATTACAAAGTGTCAAATTTTATAGACGCTTCCGTTCAGGGCATTTTGGGTAATAAAATGCTTTCTGATGTTTATTTTTGGCTGGTACACAAGAACATAAAAGTTGTATGTTAATGGTGCACCATGGAGCTCAGTCTGTGTATATACTGTGCCATTTTCTGTTTTTCAAACACTGGGAAGGCCATGAAAAGAAAACAGGAAGGAAGCTTTTATCTTTAAGGGATATGAAAGTATGGTTGGTGTACCAAACAAAGCACATGAATGATAATCTGTACAATTTAACCTCTTTCCATGAGAATGATTTAAATTTTCATGTAAAAAAAAAAAGCACAGTAAAGGTCCTGAGATTAGACAGAAATTACAGTTTTGTGCAAAGCAAAGAAAAGCAAGATCCAGCCAGAGACCATTCAATCAACTCCCTGCACATCAGATATGCTAACTACGCATCCATCCAGAGCTGCCAGGCACAAATCTCATTTTATCAAAATGGAAGGCAGAGGTGATGGAGGTCAGACAATGATAAATGCTGCAGAACGTAAACAATAAACACAATCTACCAGGTTCCACAGGCCAACATCCTGAAATGCAAAATCCACTTATGTTCAACCAAGGGAGAGATACGACCTTGGAACCAAATCAGCCACAGTTACGAGGGTACTGTTACCACGCATTATCAACAAGCAATCAAACAGCACATCTCTGTTCACACTGAACCCACCAGACTGCTCATACCCAAGAGGAAAAAGGATACAGAAATTTGCTACTGGATGCAATATCCCATTCTTAAGGTTCTGGAGGTAGGCTTTAAGCTACTTAACATGCATATAAAGGGTGTCTCTATTGACACCCTTTATATGTCACACCAGGCACTGTCCTGGGAAGTGAGATGGGCCTCTAACCTCAAGGTATTTGAAGCCTAGCCAGTGACATACAGACACAAAATTATAGTACAGAGCATGAGAAAATGTGCATAACATGAGTACATACATGATATTAAAATTACACACAAGGGAAATGAAAAAAGACTATACTAAGAAAAAAAAGCACTGAACAATATGTTCATGAAAAAAGTCCTCAAGATTTATGTATGGAAAAAAGAACCTTATAATGTTATAAAATACATGTCAATTGTCTCAGTTGCCTGTATGTATGTGTATGTGTTTACGTGGATGCATGTGAAGTATAGAAGTTCGTATCAGATGTCTTCCTCAATTGTTTCTACTGAATTTTATATATTTCATATATAATATTTTCATTGAGAATTTTATACATGTATACTATGTATGTTGTTCATATTCCTTCCTAACTTCCTAAATCCACCTCCCACCTCCCCCCAACTTTGTGATCCACCTTATGTTTTGAGACAGCGTCTCTCATTGAGCCTGGCAGTCATGAACTTGGTTAGGCAAGTTGGCCAAATGAACTCCAGGGATCTGCTTATCTCCACCCCACAGCCTGTTACAGTTACAGGCAAGCCTCACCCCTCCCAGCACTAATGTAAGTGCTGGGGATCCCAACTCAGGCCCTCCTGCTTGCATGTCAGGCCCTTTACCAAGGGAACTACCTTCCTAACCCTCCTCCACTGCTGCTCAAGCAAGTGAACCTGCTTGTAAGTGACAGCACAGTCCTTTGCAAGAGAGCACTATAGTGACATTGGTGTTGCCCAATAACTAAGACATCAGTACTCATGAAGCACCCTGTGGTTTGGGTACCATTTGTCCTCCCCCAACACTCATGATGAAATTTGGTCCCCAGTGTAACAGTGCTGAGTATGACCTTTGAGAGATATTAGTTCATGAGATGTCACCCTCAGGAATGGATTAAGGCTGCTTTCCTGGGGATGAACTACTTAAGGGAGCAGGGCTGTTACAAAGCAAGGCCCCTCCTGCTTTGTTTCTTTCCTCTTCCTACCCCAGCACAAGACCTGGCCAGATGCTCCTGCCTCATCCTGGACATCTAACCCCTTGGACCATAAACCAAACTAAACCAATTTGTTTAATGTACCAGTCTCAAGTACTCCATCACAGCAACAAAAACCAGGCTGGTAGATAATTTTTAGAAAGAAAGAAAAAAGGGGCTTATTCTACTTATTCTAGTCCTTTCAGCTGCACAGAGTGAAAGGGAAAAGATAAACACAGATTTCAGGATCACGCTATCCAATGATGACAACCAGGGTGTGGCATTTCGGAACTGGGCTTGGGTGTGCCATCTCGCCTATCCAGGTGGTCCCAAGGAGAAACAGCCTGTATTCTCTAGAAAAGCTCCTCATTCCTCTCTACCTTAAACCCCTCTCTTTAGTGTGTGTATGAACTCACAAACTGGACTAGCGCCTATTCTGTACAAAAATAGCAATAAATCAAAACACACCTTTCTGCCTCACCTCATTTCATGCAGCCTACTTATGAACATAAGCCCCAAACACCCAGCTACTCAGGAAGCATGACCACTGTCCTCTCCGCTCCCAGTCTTTCCCCAGGACACAAGAGGCAAGCAGTAGGTACCTTTCCTTCCCCAGCCTGTCAATCTCAATAACAGTACTGGTGTAACAAGGAGGAAAGTGACAGAGTCTTCGTCGTCTATGACAGTCTTGGCTAAACGCCCTGGGCCTCTTTCTTTCACCTTGGCTGGTAAATGTCACAATTTC